ATGCCTGGCTAATTTTGTATTTTTAGTAGAGACAGGGTTTCTCCATGTTGGTCAGGCTGGTCTCGAACTCCCGACCTCAGGTGATCCACCTGCCTTCACCTCCCAAAGTGCTGGAATTACAGGCGTGAGCCACTGTGCCTGGCCCCAGTTATATTTTTAACAATTACTATTTTTTTGTTTTTGTTTTTGTTTTTTTAAGACAAGGTCTCACTCTGTTGCCCAGGCTGGATGGAGTGCAGTGGCGCGATCACAGCTCACTGCAGCCTCAACCACCAGGGCTGAAGTGATCCTCGTGCCTCAGCTTTCTGAGTAGCTGGGACTGCAGGCATGCCTCACCATGCCTGGGTAATTTTTAATTTTTAATACGTATTTTTTTTGAGATGGAGTTTCACTCTGTCATCCAGGCTAGAGTGCAGTGGCGTGATCTCAGCTCACTGCAACCTCTGCCTGCCAGGTTCAAGCGATTCTCCTGCCTCAGCCTCCCAAGTAGCTGGTATTACAGGCATGCGCCACCATGCCCAGCTAATTTTTGTATTTTTAGTAGAGATGGGGTTTTGCTATGTTGGCCAGGCTGGTCTCAAACTCCTGACCTCAAGCGATCTGCCTACCTCAGCCTCCCAAAATGCTGGGATTACAGGCGTGAACCACTGTGCCTGGCTAATTTTTACATTTTGTGTACAGAAGAGTCTTGCTATGTTGCCCAGGCTAGTCTTGAACTCCTGGCCTCAAGGTATCCTCCTGTCTTACTCTGTCACCCAGGCTGAAGTGTGTTGGCTGGCTGTTCACAGGTGCAACCATAATGTACTACAGCCTACAGCCTTGTGCCCCTGGGCTTAAGTGATCCTCCCACCTCACCCTCTTGAGTAGCCGTGACTACAGATGCATGCTACCTCACCTGGGTGCTGTTTTTTAGTAGTATTTATTCTATTTTTTCATTTATTGTTATTATTTTTTTGAGATGGAGTCTTGCTGTGTCACCCAGGGTAGAGTGCAGTGGTGTGATCTTGAGTCACTGCAACCTCTGTCTCCTGGGTCAAGCAATTCTCATGCCTCAGCCTCCTGAGTAGCTGGGATTACAGTCATGCACCACCACGCCTGGGTAATTTTTGCATTTTTAGTAGAGATGGGGTTTCACCATGTTGGCTAGGTGGTCTCCAACTACTGACCTCAAGTGATGCTGCCCCACTTTGCCTCCCAAAGTGCTAGGATTACAGGCATGAGCCACCACACTCAGCAGTGTATTTATTCTAATACAATTAGTTGTATCATGAAACAGTTAGAGTGCTCTCTGTTTATATTGTGTATATAGTTTCATCTCACCCCCCTCCAAGGAGACTTGCTTGAGTGAGGTTGCAGCTCTGGCAGGAGCAGGTGGGGAATATGTTTCTTACAGCATCATTAGTAGCTTATTGAATTGACTGCTGTTTTCTCATTGTTGACCATTAGCCAGAGATCACTCTTCTTTGGATATGAGATATCCAGGCTATTATTTTTCTGAAGAATTCAGTGTTTCCATCCTACTTTTTCCAGTCTCCTAAAGACTGGGACCCAAATGCTGTGGTTAGAAGGTGTTATTTTAGTTTCTCAGTTTTGGCATAGATATCTGATCAATTTTTCCAATAAAAATGTATTTAACATTTTTACACTTACACTACTTTTAGTATGCTTTTAGTAGGTAATACTGAAATGGTTATAATACTGTCCCTTGTTCTGTAAAAAAAGTACAGTTCATTTTGAGAGAAGAACCTTGATGTGAAAGTTTCCCTCCCATGATCAGTGATAGGGATCTTTCCTTGGCTCTTAATTTCTTATATTCTTACACTTATCTCTGCATGTGCCTTATTACTTATCCCAAATTTAAGCCCGTTTTCTGTCTTTGTACCATTTGCAATGTGAAAAATTGTGTTTGAATTACTGAATGTACTGATTTATGTGAATGTTGTTTTAAATCCATAAAATGCAGAGAAATGTTGGGTGATATTTTTCTTTTTGTTTTTGGTCAAGTGATGTTTTCTTTTTTTTTTTTTTTTTTTAGATGGAGTCTCGCTCTGTCACCCAGGCTGGAGTGCAGTGGCCAGATTTCAGCTCACTGCAAGCTCCGCCTCCCGGGTTCACGCCATTCTCCTGCCTCAGCCTCCCGAGTAGCTGGGACTACAGGCGTCCGCCACCTCGCCCGGCTAGTTTTTTGTATTTTTTAGTAGAGACGGGGTTTCACCGTGTTAGCCAGGATGGTCTCGATCTCCTGACCCCGTGATCCACCCGTCTCGGCCTCCCAAAGTGCTGGGATTACAGGCTTGAGCCACCGCGCCCGGCCAAGTGATGTTTTCTAAAAAATAAATAATAGAAAGCATCTAATTGTTGAATGAGTGGCACTGGTGCTGTTTTAAGAGGCTTTTGGAGATAATATAACTGTGGACTGGGAAGCTGAGCAAGACTTTTCAGAGAATGTGGGATTCATGTTCTGTTAAGGAAGAACAGATGTTCCATGGTTAGGAATGGGAAGTGTATTCAGGTTGGAGAGAAGAGCTTGTGCACTGGTGGGGATACAACATGTAAGGATATTTAGAGACCAGTGAATGGGTCACATGTGCTCCAGTGGAGACTGTGCATGTGTGGGTGACTGAGAGCAGAGTGAGCAAGTTGTGATTGAGCCTTATACTTGCCATGTGACCTTTAGACAAAGTCTTTTACTTCTAACTTTTTTTTTTTCCCCGAGATGGAGTCTTGCTCTGTCACACAGGCTGGAATGCAGTGGCGCGATCTTGGCTCACTGCAACCTCCGCCTCCCGGGTTCAAGCGACTCTCCTGCCTCAGCCTCCTGAATAGCTGCGATTACAGGCATGCACCACCACGCCCAGCTAATTTTTGTAGTTTTAGTAGAGATTGGGTTTCACCATGTTGGTCAGGCTGGCCTCGAACTCCTGACCTAGTGATCTGCCTGTCTCGGCCTCCCAAAATGCTGGGATTACAAGCATGAGCCACCGCGCCTGGCCTTACTTCTACTTTTTATTTTTCCTTTTTCTTCTTTCTTTCTTCCTTAGTTTCTTCTCCCTTTTTTTTCTTTTCTTTCTTTCTTTTTTTTTTTTTTAAAGAGACAGTCTCACTGTCTGGCCCAGGCTGGTGTGCAGCAGCATGATCACAGTTCACTGCAGCCTTGAACTCCGGGGCTCAAGCAGTCCTCCTGCCTCAGCCTACCCAGTAGCTGGGACCACAGGCACACACCACTATGCCTGGTTAAGTTTTGTACTTTTAGTAAAGATGGGGGTTTCGCCATGTAGGCCAGGCTGGTCTTGAACTCCTGACCTCAGGTGATCCGCCCACCTCTCCCTGCCAAAGTGTGGGGATTACAGGCATGAGCCACTGCACTCGGATGTCAGTTTGATCTTTTGATGCCATTTCCCTTCTTCATACATCCCCTTCCCCACATCTTGTTTGGTATTTAATGGAAATTTCTCTTTTCTAAAGGATCTACCGCTACCAATCTCATGACTATGCCTTCAGTAGTGTTGAAAAATTACTTCATGCTCTAGGAGGAGATGACTTCCTTGGAATGCTTAATCGAACACTTCTTGAAACCTTGCAAAAGGCCGGCTTCTCTGAGAAATTCCTCAATGAAATGATTGCTCCTGTTATGAGGGTCAATTATGGCCAAAGCACGGACATCAATGCCTTTGTGGGTAAGCCAGGGCTTGGAACAGTGGTGGACATGAGTTCACAAAGGGGCTTACCTGATGCTATGGTGGTTCTAGACTTTAGGCCATGGATCGGAGGCTACTTTTCTCTGTGAACCTCAGACATTGTTGGCAAAATTGTGCGTATATAGACGTTGATTTTTAGGGGGAGGGGGTCTTTAGCTTTCATTAGTTCAGTGATTCTTCATTGGGGGAGATTTTGCTCCCAGGGGCCATTTAGCAATGTCTAGAGACATTTAGAGTAGAACATGTAATTGGGAAGGGAGAGTGGGTAGAGAGCCTCTTAAAAGTCAGAATTAAAACACATTTTTTCTGTTGACAGGGGCAGTGTCACTGTCCTGTTCTGATTCTGGCCTTTGGGCAGTAGAAGGTGGCAATAAACTTGTTTGCTCAGGGCTCCTGCAGGCGTCCAAAAGCAATCTTATATCTGGCTCAGTAATGTACATAGAGGAGAAAACAAAGACCAAGCACACAGGTAAGCTTGAATTTCTGTCTTATTGTTCCTGATTTCCCCTGCAGAAAATGATTGCTCTCTTCTGTCATCTCTTACTCAGTTCTAAAATGATGAAACTTAAAATTGTATATATTGTGCCATATAGAAATATTCCCCAATGGGCTGGGTACAGTGGCTCACGCCTGTAATCCCTGTACTTTGGGAGGCCAAGGAGGGTGGATCACCTGAGGTCAGGAGTTCGAGACTAGCCTGGCCAACATGGTTAAATGCTGTCTCTACTAAAAATACAAAATTAGCTGGGCTTGGTGGTGGGCGCCTGTAATCCCAGCTACTTGGGAGGCTGAGGCAGGAGAATCACATGAACCCGGGAGGCAGAGGTTGCAGTGGGCCAAGATCACACCACTGCAGTCTAGCCTGGGTGACAGAGCGAGACTCCATCTAAAAAGAAAAAAAAAAAAGAAATATTCCTGAATGTAGTTAAGTGCAGTGGCATGACTCCTTGGATTTGAAAAATAATCTTATCTTAAAAAGTAAAAATTCTGTATTTTGTACTTATTGACATTCTGTGTAAGAAATTGGCCTCAATGTAATAAAAATGCAAGGGACAGCTATCTTAAGGGATATAACTTCTTCAATTCTTTAGAATTATAGAGAAATTATGAAGAAGGTATAGAATTATTTTTAGAAGGTATGTTAAAAACACTGAACAAATAAATGCCTTATTTCCTCTAGGAAATCCAACAAAGATGTATGAAGTGGTCTACCAAATTGGAACTGAGACTCATTCAGACTTCTATGACATCGTCTTGGTGGCCACTCCATTGAATCGAAAAATGTCTAATATTACTTTTCTCAACTTTGACCCTCCAATTGAGGAATTCCATCAATATTATCAACATATAGTGACAACTTTAGTTAAGGGGGAATTGAATACATCTATCTTTAGCTCTAGACCCATAGATAAATTTGGCCTTAGTACAGTTTTAACCACTGATAATTCAGATTTGTTCATTAACAGTATTGGGATTGTGTCCTCTGTGAGAGAAAAGGAAGATCCTGAGCCATCAACAGATGGAACATATGTTTGGAAGATCTTTTCCCAAGAAACTCTAACTAAAGCACAAATTTTAAAGCTCTTTCTGTCCTATGATTATGCTGTGAAGAAGCCATGGCTTGCATATCCTCACTATAAGCCCCCAGAGAAATGCCCCTCTATCATTCTCCATGATCGACTTTATTACCTCAATGGCATAGAGTGTGCAGCAAGTGCCATGGAGATGAGTGCCATTGCAGCTCACAATGCTGCACTTCTTGCCTATCACCGCTGGAATGGGCACACAGACATGATTGACCAGGATGGCTTATATGAGAAACTGAAAACTGAGCTATGAAGTGACACACTCTTTTTTCCCCTCCTAGTTCCAAATGACTATCAGTGGCAAAAAAAGAACAAAATCTGAGCAGAGATGATTTTGAACCAGATAGTTTGCCATTATCATTGTTTACTAAAAGTAATCCCTGCTGGTCATAGGAAAACACACGGTTCTAATTAAGTGTGAAGGTATAGCTATTGCACTTATGCCATCTCAAAGTATTCTTTTACTATCCATTAGGAGTTTTTCTTAAACTTGTTTGATAATAAGAATCACCTGGAGTTAGGAGGTGGCGGTTGCAGTGAGCTGATCGTGCCACTGCACACCAGCATGAGCAACAAGAGCAAAACTCCATCTCAAAAAAAAAAAAACAAATAAAAATAATCACCTGAAGTTTGTTAAACCATATGGATTCTCAAGCTCCTCTCTTGAAGATTCTGATTCAGTAGGTCTGGGGTGGGGCCCTGGATTTTGATCAAAATTGTAGAACATTTTAAGGTGAGTACCTGAGGGAGAACTTAAAGATGTCTTAGTTGGGGAGCAGTCCTTTTGAACTTTACAGGTAGATGTAATCTTCAGTCAGATAAAATTTATGGAAGCTGGTATCTTATGCCTGACTCTTAGTAATTTCATACCTGTTTGAAGTACATGTGCTCATGCCTAAAGCCTTGACTTTCAGAATGTTGTCTTTTGATTATTCTGTCTTGATTTGATTAGGGGTGAAATTTAGAAGTCTTAGTAATGTAACTTGAAGATGTTAAACAAAAATCTCAAGTAAAATGAAAAACAAATATGGGCTACTGAATTAAGAATCTGGCATTCTATTATTAAATCCTCACTTCAGGAGCTTTTAAAAATACGGAGAGACCCCCGTAACTAGAGATTCAGATTCAAAGATTGAAGACAGGACCTTAGCCTTGTAGCTTTTTAAAGTTTCTAATGTGCACCCAGGGTTGAGAATTATCAATGTGGGTGTGAAAATGCCTACAAAGGGGTTTTAGTGCCTTAGAAGTCCTAAGAAACCCAATCTGTATCAAAGCAGATCCATTTTGCAAGGATCTTTCTCTTAGTAAGAACTTTAGAAGTAATCTTGATAAGAAGCACAGACAGCCTAACAGTTGGCGCTAGAACAGAATACTTGGAATGACACCAGAGTTAACCAAGTCCAGCATATGTCCAAAGAGTTAAGTGTTTCAGTTACTGTGGCATTCTGGGTGAGAAATTGGTTGCTGAAATCTTAAGACAGTGGCTCTCAACTTTGGCTGCACATTGGAATCACCTGTAGGGTTTTAAAGCATCCAAATGGTAACTAACGTGCAGCCAAACTTGAGAACTAGTTCTGCATCTACTGTACAAAGATCATGATTAACTGTCAAGACACTGGTAGAACAGAACAAGCAAAAGATTAAGAATTCAAAAGTAAATGCAACCAATTTAACATGTAATGTTATTAAAAAAAAATAAAACGCTTAGATCAGCCTGGGCAACATGGTGAAACCCCATCTCTACAAAAAATTTTCAAAAAGTTAGCCAGGCATGGTAATGCACGCCTGTGGTCCCAGCTGCTCAGGAGGCTGAGGTGGGAGGATCACTTGAGCCTTGGAGGTCGAGGCTGCAGTGAGTCATGATCATGCCACTGTACTCCAGCCTGGGCAACAGAGACCATCTTTTAAAAAAAAAAAAAAAAAAAAAATCCCTCCATTGAATAGAAACTTAAAAAAAAAAGTCCTTCATAAGATCATGGCATTAGCTACTTTAGCAAAATAGTGTTAACTTTGGTTCTGAGTAAAAGTGACTTCTTCCCTACCACAGTTGTGAATGTTAATATGCTGATAAAACTGCCAAGATATATTTGATAGGTAGGGGATTAAACTCATGGTTTGTCAAAAGGGTGTTTTTTTCTAGTTTTATTCTTAACAGATATGTTAAGAGGTATTCATATTTGTTTCCTTTTGTGGTTTTAATGAAGACAATTTGTAAAGAATGTAATACTGTTATGTATATGCTAAATATTGGTAAATACTAATTTCTATCATATGTAGACTTGTTTTGCAATGAGATACATTTTTACTTATAATACCAATTTAGGCTGGGTGCAGTGGCTCATGCCTGTATTCCCAGCACTTTGGGAGGCCAAGGCAAACGGATCACGACATCAGGAGATCAAGACCATCTGGCCAACATGCTGAAACCCCATCTCTACTAAATATACAAAAATTAGCTGGGCGTGGAGGCGCACGCCTGTAATCCCAGCTACTTGGGAGGCTGAGGCAGGAGAATTGCCTCAATCGCGAGGTGGAGGTTGCAGTGAGCCGAGGTTGCACCACTGCAGTCCAGCCTGGCGACAGAG